TTTAACATATTATAAATATTAATTTTACTGAAGAAATGTAATTGCTTATAAATTGTGTCTGTGTGGTTTTTTGTCTTAATTTTTCACATAATATTTGTGTTACCTTCTAACACACTCTCATCGTTTTAAATTAACACATAAATTCGAGTGAATCATTTGGAACATGTCAAGGAACATGTAAAATGTATTTTTAACAGAAATTTTCCAAGTGCGTATCTAAAAATTTAGCTAGATACAGATCTAAAAATATCTTTTAATCTTTTGTTTAGACTATCAATATAATTACGTAAGAAACTTAAATCGGGCGCTAAAATGTTAATACTTTTGGCAATTCAACGTTTAAGCGTTCTGTATAATTATTTATTTTCCAACAAAATTATCCAACAAAATTATTTTCAGATCTAAATCTAACTAAATTTTAGATACTTCAACAAAATCGTTCTTTCCGTGCGTAGTTTCTGCGAAGTTTTCGAAGAATGTCTTGCTTTCTTAATGTGAGAAAAAATCTTAAATAATTAAATTTTTTATTTAATTATTTAAAATGCATAAACTTTCTTAAGACATGATTTTTAATAACATCGAAATCAAATTAAATTAAACAATTTTTACGTGGTTAATGTATAATATATTAATATGTCTCACATTTCATTGTCACCTCAGACTGCGATTTATAGTGTATTGTTAAGTTATGCATCATTTCACATCTAAAGTTAGCGTAGAGAAATTTCAAGGTGACGAGCACGCGAGTTTCATACCCGAGCACGCTCTTATCGATAAAACATCTATTTTCTCCGCGTTCGATATTTCAACGACTTGTCAATACTTCAAGGTTCTTCTCTTTATCGCCGACACTATCGACATGCGTAGTCAGAAAAGAAAGAGAGATATAAAGACAATAGTTTTATCTTATCCTTTCTTGTATCTTGGAGAAGAAACTATTTCCCTTATTTCGAATATTTCGCGCGCTAGGATTATTATTTGCCAGGATTTAAAACGATGGCCTAAAAACTTTCACCTCCGGCAAAGAGCCATCAGGAGTTCCTATTGGCCAAGTTCGTTAATATGTTTGTCGCGAGCCGAGAAGTGCAATAGCATTTTTCGAGACTGGAAAATGGAAAGCCGCCTGAACGGCAGTGATGACCCCGGATTACCTAATGACGTTTGTAGTCGTTGACCCTTTAGAGGGTCAAATACTAAACAGATGTCAACTAAATTCACTGCGGGAGGCGCCCGGATGCTTCTTGGCGCCGCGATAAATTCGCAGACGCCGCGAGGGCCATTAGGGATAGTTGAAACCAGGCGAACTGTTAATGAGTGCCACGAATAAGTATTGGTATTATTAACTCCGAGTGTGTCGGAGATCGATCGACTGTATCGCGACTGACAGTTAGTGTTGGATTGAATGAATAACGTAATTTATAAAAAGAAATGCTTAAACTGTGGGATAACCTAATAAACAATCTTAAATCTAGCGTATAATTCAAGAATTAATAGCAATTGAGATCAATACTAGTTAAGTGAAATATTATTTAATATGTTAATCAAGATTTATCATTGTTCAATTTTTCAAAATTACTTTTAGAATTAAAAATATTTTAGTAATATCTATTTATGAAATAGTATTGTTATGAATGGTTTTTTATGCTATATAGCAAACATTCTATTTATTACAAAAACTCATCGAATGTACATATTATTAGCTTCATTTCTGATTTATGGAAAAATTAACGCGAAATGCAAAATATAAAAATACAGGTTTGTTATTAAACATCGTTAATAGATACATTATCAAATGATGATCAAATTTATGCTGGATATTATAATGCATAATCTAAAATAAGATTCGATTTGAAGTGATATTATAGAAGAATATAAAAAGATTTAAATTTTTGTATTAATATAATATTTTATAATATATTAATACAAAGAAATTTTTTATCAATATGTAATTAGATAATATGATCCCACATAAATGCATAACATATTGTTATATTTCTCTCATAATAAATATTAATATTTTTATCGTAATAACGTTTCTCTAACAAAATATTATATCCGAAATTCGCAACGTTCTTCTGAAAACCTCTCAATAATTACGACGTTAATTAAGATAATAATACGTAGGTGAGCTAATATTATTATCGTCATCTAGACGACAGTTTTATTGGTCAATAAGTGATACCCGAGGACAACTGCTTCTTTTTATTACATAAGAGATAAGTATTGCCTCTCCAAATTAATTTTGCGCACGTGTGTCCGAATGCTCCGAAATTCAACCCGTTGCATAACGAAGCCATGACGATGATTTTTCGAAGACAATTTACTTGATTCGAAAACAAGTATTACAACTTTCGACGTCATGAAACGAATGCAAAAATCGATCGCTGAGACTGAGATTTTCCGAGATTTTACGCTCGACCGGCATAATAATCGCGGTCTTGGGCCACGTGGTATAATTGGCAAATATCACCAGCCAAGTAACACGAAACATGTACACCGAATGCTGTCGAGTGTGTATTTGTGCGTGTACAAACAATGTTGATATGTAAGCTGGCAATGTCCTCGAAAACTGAAATAGTTATGACTTGACTTGAAAGGAAAAGAAAAATACTTGACAAATAAGCTTAAGTACGTAATTATATTAATTGTTCGTGATTGTCGCGGGAAATTACGAACAATTACTATAATTCGTAACATATTCACACGTAATACATATATTCATAGAATTATATTAATATAATTCTATGAATATGTATCTATCATTTTATTCAAGGAATATTAAAATTTGGATCAATATTTAAAAATATGAAGTAATCTGCATGTTGCAACGCTTCAACGATTTTTATGACGAAGAAATGATTTAATTTTTATAATGACATTGACTTACGATTTAAGATTGAAATGTTCGCAAATATTTCAATTCAAAATAAAACCGACCTCGAACCATAATCATAAAGTCGAATATATGTAAGTGCAATCATTAACTTTCAATATTTTAACTTTCAATAACTTATTAACTAGTAGCACAAATATGGAACGCGAATATAATTATTCGTATATAATATAATTATCTTCATTTCCCACCCGAATTACAGATCTTGACCACAAGTATAAAGCACCCCCACAAATATACATAAACATTCTATATCTAACGAAAAATAATTTAAAAACAGATTTATTGAAATATTTATTGTTATAACAATTTTAATATTGTTACTTTCTCTTTAGCTTTCATTTCAAGAAAATGTAATAAATTGAGAGTGCTTTATATTTATGGCCAAGGTTATATAATAAAGTGTAATTACAATTCACGTTTGACGTACGTCAAAATAGGTATATTTATGATAATTCGTGATTAAATAATAATACGCAATTCATGGTAATATAAATTCTATTGATAATAAAAATATTAATAGAGAAAAATTAGGAACATGTCAAGTTTATCGTACTTGTTAATATTCGAACGAATATTTGCGAGTGGAAAAAAACTCGCCGTTCAAAATATGCGACCTCGACGAATGTCTTTCAAAAATAAACAAAGATCCGCGTAATTTCTGTATTAAAAAGACACATATGTAAATTTCAAAGAACCTCCAGCTGTTTCATTTAATTTACTTGTCTCGTATAAATCGAGTACCCGTCTCATGCTGAAACGTAATACAAATTTTCGGTATTGTTCGCAAATATTTATAAAGCAGTTAAAAGTTTTTTCAGAAACGTGCGTACACGCTACGAACGATCGTCATTCCACTCCAATCTTTTCATAAAATTCGAAATCGCTCAACTCTAACATCGTTTCATATTTTATATACATTATGATTAATGATTCACATTTTCCGTATCGAATAATATCTACGATTACAAATCGCTGGTAACGATGATTTTATTCTAAATAATGCAGTACATATGTTGTTGTAGTATTTTCGAAAGAGCAACTACATAATCCGTCATTACAGAAACATTACCAAAACATTTTGCAATTTTAATTATTGTTCTGACCAAACAATGCAAACGAAATATAATCGTAAATATGGCAAGTAGTTCAATAGCCGTAAAATATTGATAAAAATGTGGCGTGACTTCGATGAAAGTCTACGTCTCGCGGAAATGATTTCTACGCGCACCGCAACCGCGATGTCTAATAATAAATTATGATTTCCTAATATTTATGGCTGTAATATCGAACCTGGCGGAGAATGATGAAACGATTTTCATTCCTCGTGACAACACGTTGCCATTGAAAGTGACTTTGCCGAAACGGGCGAAAATCTCGATTTTCAGTGGCTCGAAATGGAGCAACGAAAACTACAGAGAAATATAAGAAGCACTTTGCAAAACGCATTATGAACTTTCTACAATAAGTTATTACCTAAGTTTTAAGTCTTAAATCATAAGACATTAATCAATCACAGCCGAAGAAAAATAATCGATTATGATTGATCAATTTCTTATAGCTTAAGACTTAAAGCTTAGGTAATGGCTTATTGCAGAAAGCTCATGAGCTAAATCATAATGAGCTTTCTGTCAATAAGTTATCTAAGTTTTTAAATCTTAAGTCATAAGAAACTGAACCAATCATAGTCGATTATTCTTCTCACATTCGATTGTGACTGGTCAATTTTTTACGGCTTAAGACTTAAAATCTAAGTAACGGTGTATGTCACGGTGAAAATCAACCAAAGTCTTTTATTATGAAAGCTTTGATTCATTTTCTTACGCGTTGCATTATACAAGACTCCGTGCTCCAGCCCATAGACTCGGAATATTCGCACCAAGAAGGGTCGCACCACGCCGCGATGTAAACATAAACGGCACGGCACGACGCGGCGCGAGGCGTCGCGCGCGCGACGCCAGGTCGCGGTGACCAACAATCGACCCGCGTACAAACTACGCGATATAACGACACACCTGAAACGAGAACGCGAGCCTCGCAACGTTTTCTCGGAACCGCGTAAACGCGCGAAGAAAGAAAAATGTGAGCAAATTTTTAGGACACTCACCTGAAGGTCATGACAGCCGTTATCCCTGTGACTGGCAGCACGTATCACCCCCGCACGCCAACCCCACTCACTAATTTTATTCACCTTCAGCTTGGTGAAATCACTCACCGAGAGAAACCTCTTTCCCACGATCTCCTCGCGAAACTTGTACGCCATATTACGTTCGGTAAACCACGGCGTTCCCTTCCCCCCGCACGAACGGGCGCCCCCAGTCTCCCTCCCCCACCGTTCCCCGCTCCTCTTCCGTTTTCTCGTTGCTCTCTTTCTCGCGCTCTCTCTCTCTCCCTCTCTCCCTCTCTCTTTCTCTCTCTCTTTCGCACGCTCACTTCACTCTCCCGGCCCCCTGACGCCGACCTGGTTTTTCCTTCTATCCTCCGAGGAGCGTGCCTCGCCCCCGAAAAGAAAAGAAAAACAACAACGGGCACACGCACCGCAAGATCACACCGTGGGGGGAGGGGACGCGACGGCGGACCCTGTCACAAACGATCACTACTCCTCGACGGCACAAAGCACTACTCCGCGACCGATTTTTTCCCGCCGAAGATCACGAAGAGCCATCGAACAACAGGACCATGAGACGACGGCCGGTCACTCGTGTTATCCTTCCCTCGCTGCCGTTTCTCTCTCTCTCTCTCTCTCTCTCTCTCTCTCGTTCTCTCTCCTTCCTCACCAACACAATCCGCAGCCACTCCTTGCTCCTGTTTTGCACGTCTGGACGCGCGCGAGACAGTTATTTACGTGAAAACGTAAATACGAGATTTTTCTCGCGCAACTTCAAACAGTTATATCTTCTCCCTCTTTCTTTCTCTCTGTCCGGCGTCGCGTGATCGCCTCGCCGTTCGCGCCTAACTTGACGATGTTTTCCCACTGCTCTCCCGGCGCGCGCGCGCGCGCGCGCGCGTCCCTATGGCAATAAAGGAGTCCGCGCGTCTCTCCACCTGTGCGCTCTTATTTTCGAATTAACGATGATATATGCGTCGTCGGTCGGCGACGTACCGCGAGGAGACGACACGAGGGAGAGAAAGAAAGAGATTCTCTCTCGCGTCTTCTCTCCGTCTCCACTGTTTTGACGTCCGCGCGCGCGAGACTAAGATCGACCGGGCACACTTTCAACTTCCGGGAGCCGCGCACCGGGTGTGTAGAAGCACTTTTCGGCGCCGCGCACTACGCGGCAGAGGACGGTAACGGCAACGGCGGCAACACCACCAGCGCGGTAACCAAGTACTCCGAACGGTACCAGTGTGAACGTGAGAGTGACACACACATGACCGGCCAGTGATATCGCGTAGCGCGCACTGCGGGCGGACGGCAGGGAGGCAAGGCTCCTTCCCGCGGCCCGTATACCCTCCCCCCCTCCGAACGCGCGCGCTCCCTCCCACCCGTCTAGCTAACCTCCTCCCGCCGCCGCGCCGTGCTGTGCTACGATCCGCTCCCCCACCCCGCCGAGCCGTCAACCAAGAGAGCGCGCTCTCTCTCTCTCTCTCTCTCTCTCTCTCTCTCTCTCTCCTCCCTACTCTTCTCTCGCTTCTCTTCTCTCTTCCCCTCTATTCCTCAGAGTACCACGTCGCGTCGCGTCGTGTCTCGCCTCACTTTCCTGCTATCCATCGCACGAGAGTGCCGTTGGGATGGCCAGAAGAGGCGGCGGAGGGGGTGCTTAGAGCCGTAGTACCGACCGCGAGGCGTGTGGGGTCGCGCGCGCGGGTGGCGCAAGAGGGAAGATACGTTGCCGAGGGTCGAAAAGAGAAGGGCGCCTGGGGAGAACTGCCGCCTTTGCCTCTACGCCCTCTATTCCTCTTCTCTTCTCTTCTCTTCTCTTGTGCGCGCGACACGCACACGGCGTACTCGTGTCACGCGTATCCACGTTCCGCGCTATACACACGCATCAACGTAACATGCCACGTACAAGTCCCGGTTTTCTCCGGCGGATTAAAGAATAAGTGTTTCCGTAAAAACACGTGTTTTTGTTTTCCTCGGCGCAAACGATGATAAATTTCGATATTACTCGCTTGTGTTTTTGAGATAAATGTATCTTATATTTTAACCCTCCAGAGAGAAGCTTACATCTATTAGACCTGATTAATTATAATTAAATCTCTTTGTAAAAAATGTCGAACAATTCAATTTACTTTATGTTCTTTACACACAAATTTGAATTATTAAAATATATTTATTATTCGTTCTTTTTGTACATCATTTTGATTTCTTCAAATTAATTAGTGCCTTTTAATTAATATAAATTACATAAGTCTTACATAGCCACGTGTTACTGGAAAATGTATGACTTAAATTACTTTATATACTCGTATATAACGTGTTACAAATTAATTTACTTTACAGACCCAAATGTATGATTTAAAGTACTTCATATTGTTGAGTCTGTAAGACTCATTTAATTTAATTTAAATAAGAAGCCCATACTATTTTATGTCAACGGTTGACAAAATAAATAAATTTTATTAATTAAATGTTTTATGCTTATTACAAGTAATTTAAGTCATATATTTTTTAAGCATTACGTATAAAGACTTAAAGACTCTCTATTTTAAGTATAAAGACTTTAATTCATGAGATGAAAAATCAAGTTTTTCATTCACTGCGAATTATTTTTCTTCAAAAGAACCTATGGAAATATAAACGTACTCGTGAGGATATTTTTCACACACGCATACTCGGAAGCTTTACATATAATTGATTATCTAGATTTTAAGTTAAACTTTTTCCTTTTTTACAATAAAAGTTTGTATTTGTTTGTTCGCTCGTGGTGTACCAGAAACCGTTTCGTTGATAGGAATTCCCTGTTCTTTTTCATTCCCTTCTTAACCTACTTTTTAGTTTTCTTTTTCTGCCATCCCTTGGTAGCTGGAGAATTTGTGTGTTTACGCGGTTGGCGGTAAGCCGGAAGACGTTTTACGGTCGCAATTTTTGGAGCAGGTGAAATGTTTGAGAAAACTTCAGTGAGAAACATGAATTATCGCGTAACGCAAAACACTTCAATTATTCATACTGCGATAAATCATGTATACGAAATGCTAATATTTGGCAATAAATTTTGATTTTAATTACTTTATTAATAATATACTGTAGTTGCTATCAATGATTTTAAAAAGATTGTTAACTATATAATTTATTATTCTATTTTATAATCAGTCTTTAAATTAAAGTCTCTGCTCATTATCATATACATCATTTTTCATTTTTCGTTTTTCATTATTGTAATTTTATCAGATACATACTTGATTCCATGTGGTAATTAATTAATTATAATAAAAGAAAAAAAAGTGTAGGCTCATGAACAGCAACATTACTGGCGTCTCACCTTTTAGAGTGCTCTAATCAATACTCTCTTCATGGTTACAAATTTATATTTTGCACGTCAACTAAGCTTATTATTATTATTTCCAAAACATACTTGATAATAAATTTTAATATAAATTCTAGAAGTCTAATGATATTTTTCTTTTCGAATTAGAATGACAGAGGAAGAAACGAATACGGGATTTTTTGATCGAGCCAATAGTTATCGAATTTAAGGAATCAACATTAATAAATGAAAATTGACCAAAATATGATCCATATAAATAAGCAAAGAAGATAGTTCGGTAAAAACAGGTCTTGCGTAATAATATTTTTGTGTGAATCTTAATTTCTAGTTCAAGCAAATAACTACGCGCCGACTATTTGTCAGTCTTGAAACATAATCCATAATTGAAACTGGAGTACGTAATAAATCACAAATTAAATTAATAAGCAGTTTAATAATATTAACGTCGGGGTTAGGAAATAACGTGTTACATCGTCGTCATCGTTACATTACTTTTTCCGAATGTAAGTAATGACATGAGTTACATTTTTTTACTTGTAACGTTATTGGCAACGCAATTATTTTTTTGGAGTAATGATAACGAACGTAATCGCTACTTTTATCGTTACTTTGTGTACAAGCAACATGTGTATATGGAACATGCATAAATGAGTTACAAAGAAGAAAGTATTAAGGTTGGAGCACAAACCTTTACATAACGCGTAACGCATAAAAAAAATAATCAATTAGTCTTTTCTTTCCATAAAATAAAAAACTCTGATTGATTCTCTTATGTTATATGCGAAGATCTGTACATTCAGATCTTCATATTTAACCATGTTATGGTTAACCACAATCATCATAATCACTGTTGAACTGGTCAATTAGTGACCAAGATAATTGAATGCCACTATAAACAGTTTATCAAAATTCGGTGAAAATGTAACAGAAATTGTAACGACTCGTTACTTTTTGAGTAACGGTAATGATAACAAGAAACTTTTTAAAATCAGTAACAATAACGAGTTGCTTTTAAAAAAAAGAACATACTTTTTAACGATAATAAGTTACTTTTGTAAAGTAACTTGTCAGATGCTAACTATTGCTAACGAGCATCTTAAAACAATATTGTCCGTTTCTACTAATGTAGTTTAATTTGAATCTTGATTCAACTAACTCTTCATCTTTTCTAGTACTAAGAATGAAAAAAATATAATAGTAAGATCGATATTCACAGTCTGTTCTTGTTTTAAGACTGTCTTAAGTAACGTCTTAAGATGCTAATGCGGCTTGCTAACTGGTTCATGATATTTTAAAACTGTACTTAAGATAGTCTTAAATATAAGAATTGACTAAGAATACCGATCTAAGAGTTGAATTGAGATCAAAGTTAATCTACATTAGTAGAAACGTAAAGGATTTATTGCGAAAAATAGAATTTTACGGAATTAAGAAGGTTCTCGCGTTTGATGAAAAATAAGACAAGTCTATAATATACATGCAAAAGTTAATAATATCAATAATATCTAGAAAAAATTTCATTGACTTTTACCGTACACCATTTTGAAGATATTTAATTCTAAATTTATAGAATTTTACATTACAAGTTGAAGGTATAACCTTATTCTGTAATTATTCTCTTTTAAATTGAGACACTTTCGTATAAGACAGCAATTTAAAAATCATTATAATCATAAAGTAAACACTTAAGTTTGTTCTTGTAAAGTTTCATTTAAATTGATCGTATAGTTTACAAGAAATTTATATTCTTCAATGAAAAAAGCTGGAATATATATCAAATGGACGATGCGTATACATCAAATGAGCACTTACACACATCTTAGAACTTTTATTTTGTCATTTTGAAAATATTTAG